GTGCCAGCCACAGCTGGAAGGAAGGACACCCAGTGGAGCCTGGACCTACCCCACCACCCCCAGGACCAGCCAGGGCCAAGAGTGGCAACCATCCACACCACACAGCTGCTGTGGGCAGCCCCTGGGGCGTCTCTGCAGGGTCCAGGAGGATGTCGGCCTCCATAACCTCAGCAGCTACTGGCACAGCTTTCAATCCAGGATGACCTGCAGGGAGGCGAGCTCTACCCCCGGGAGGAGGTCCCTCTCCCTGGCTGGCACAATTGGCCGTCGGCCCCAGAGCTGAGCACCATCTGGGCTCCCTTGGGGATGAGGATGAGGGGGGGGGGCAGGACACCCTGGGGGACGTGGAGGTGGAGATGGGCTGGCATTGCAGGCCCTGCCCTAGATGTCGGGGTAGGTAGGGACGTGGGTGGGCTCTTTCCACGGGCTGGGCCTAACTCCTTCAGAATCCCCAACACCTCAGAAACACATGATCTCGTTAGGACCCTGAGGGTGGTGTCTTCAGGGAGGAAACCCAAATTCGCCTTCTAGTGCAGGGGCTAAGGATGTCATTGTGGCCAGTGGCTGAGAACTGAGCAAAAGAAGGACCAGACTCCCAAAGGGCTGACAGGAAAACAAAGCCTACCCTCATACTGGCCCTTGCACCCTACTGTCCACCACAGGGTGTGGTAGGGCTAGGAGGGCCCTTCCTTGCTCAACCCATGACAGGTGCCCAGCCATGCCCTGTAGCATGAAGCTGTCACCAGGGTGCAACCCCGAGGGGCCTATACTGGCTCTGGGTCCCTACACATCTCTGTATACAGTAGCTGCGTGGCCCTGGGTCTGAGGCAGGCACAGAGTGGATATCAGAGAGGTGGCTAGTCATGCCTGGGAAGGGCTGGGACCTGTTGGTGTTCTCCCTGAACCTGAGAGGAGCTCCCATGCCCTCAGACATAGGAGCCAACTGCTCACCCTGTGTTGCTGGTGCTGCACTGTCCACCTGCAGCCACTCACATGTGTGTGCACCGAGATTCCAGCTCATTAAGGTGAAATAATGGGGCCATAGGGAGGTTCCCAGTCAAGCCCCAAGACCTCCTGAGGAGGTGGAGCATGCCCTACCCGTGATTCGGGCTGGTTGAGGCTGGGGGTGGACGGCAGCATTGGAACCCATTGCAGTGCTCTCTGTCTCTCTCACTCGTAGAAGAAATAAACGAACTTTAGAAGAAGATGATGAAATGACGTTTGCAACAGCACATTCTTACTGCTTCAGAGTGACTCGTACACACACGCAGCACTGCCTGCCCTGTCCCTGCCCTTGCCCTCTCTGCCCTTCCCGCATTGGTGTCCCTGCCCTCTTGCTTACCCCTCCCTGCAACCTCCCTTGCGGGGAACAGGTTCAGTCTGGTCTCGTTCCCGAAGGTCCAGGCTGGGATAGTAGGAGCCTGGGGAGGGGTCACACTAGAACTGGAGTGAGCTTCTTCCGAAAGCCCCTCCATGGGCCTGACTGCCACCTGAGAAACCCAGAGTGGCTCCTGGCCAGCCGTGCCTTTCCTGACTCCCTGGACTGCTCCCCTCCCTAGCCCAGTCTGGGTCCCCATCTAACTTGCCTGTCTTCTGCAGTCATTGCATCCAGCAGATCCTGGAGGCCGTTCTCCACTGTCACCAGATGGGGGTTGTTCACAGAGACCTCAAAGTGAGTTCCCACCCCTCTGTTGGGTGTGTCCTCCTGATCTGCATGCCACACAGGAGGGTTGGTGGCTGGGCAGTGCAGAGCACCACAGGATGTCATGCAGGATGTGGGACATGTGTGTGCTTGTGTGTATCGTGGTGAAGTGTGCACATGCACACGTGTGTATGTATGGGTACTTGTGCATGTTTGTATATGTGCATGCATGTAGGGTCATGTGCATGTGTGTGTGTAGGTGTGGGGGCAGGCTTATGTGTGGAGTCTATGGGAATGAATATATGTGCATGCACGTACATGCATGCATATGTGTGCATGCATGTAGGATGTGTGCACCAGTGTGTAACATGTTGATGTTGTACAGTCACACGTGTACACACATGCATGTGTGCATTAGTGTGAGTGCATATGCACACCTGTATGTACATGTGTGCAGCAGTGATGTGTGTATGTATGTGCACACGTGTGCACAGGTGTGTGAGGCATATGCATGTGCACAGCCGTGTGTGTTGTGTGTATGTGTATGTGCACATGTCAGGGGCGTCTGCACACATCCTCCCAACACATCCAGGCCTCCAAGGCCTCCAAGAAATCAGCCTGTTACCAGGCTGGTAGTCTCTCTGGACTCCTTTCAGCATGCTGTCCTGGCAGGTGGGGACCTTGGTGGCAGGTGGTGTGCTGCGAGCAGGGCACAAAGCAGCCTGTCCGGCTCTACCACATTCCACCCCCTCTACCACCGCCCAGCCTTTCTCCACATCTCTGCTGCCCACAGCTCTGCTCTGGGCAAGGAAGATCCAGCCTATGTTCAAAGGACGGTTTGCAGCCTGGGCCTCTCAGAAGTTCCTTCCCCTCTCTTCTCCTTCATCCCCACCTCTCCAAGGCCCTGGGCCTGCCACCCCATAGCAGCTACAGCACCTTCCTATGCTGTTGGTGCTGAATGAGCTGCATGTTCCTCAGGCCATGCTTGGGCAGGGGGTGCTGCTCTCTGCAGGAGCCTGGGGACTCTGCGGTGCCCTTCACTGTTCCCACTTCCTACATGTCCCAGGCAGTCCTGCTCCTTGTCTTATCTGAGCCAGCCTCCCCAGGGGGCTTCCAGTCACACTAGGAATTGGTGTTTTGTTCCTGAGCCAGGATGTTTGAAGCCAACTTTGGGTCCCAGCATAGAAGTGGAGGTCAGTGCCCTTCACCCCCATTCTGGGATAAGCGGAGCCCTTGCTGTGACTCTGAGCATCTGTCAAGAAGCAGGTGTCCTGGAGCAGCGGTGGTGGGTTTGCCTTAGTCCTTTGCTGGGGAGGGAACAGAGAGTATAGGGTGCCATTTCGGGGCCTGCTAGGGCTGGGCTGGAGCCTATGGCAGGGGCTTGGCTGTGGAGCCTGGGGGTGGAAACCAAGGCCTTCAAGTGCCCTCCAAAGGCTCCCAGACCTCATCCAGTGTAGCTGCAACCTGGGCCAAATTCACTTAACTTTCTGTCCCCTCCTTGGAAGAAGAGATGGTCTGTCTCCTCTTGGGAGGGGGCACCTATCACAGAGCAGCCAGCCCCTCTTCAGACTTCCCCTTGTGGGTGCACATGGAACCTGGGTCCCCAGCACACTGGCTAAGTTAGGACACGGTAAAATAGAATTCTGATGGGCTCTCAGCAGGCGGGGACCTGTGTGCCCCGCTTGTCCCCAGGGGGGTGGGGAGGTCAAGGCAGGGGCAGAGAAGAGAGGGCGAGAGGCTTGTGTGTGGGGCCTGGGGGAGCAAAGAGCGGACTTAGGGGAGCCCGAGTCTTCCCACATGCAGTCTGCATATTCCATTGGCCCCAAGGACTATCTTTTGGCTGTAGAGCCAGCGCTGAACATCAGGCTGAGTGGCGGCTCTGTGTGTTTTGGCGGCTTCTAAGCAGGCCTGTGATCCTACCAGGCAGTGCAGTTGGGAGGCTGGCCAAGGGGACCTGAGGGCGCCCCCTGGTGGCTTGAGACAGCGAAGGCTCCAGGTCAACCCCTGATGGGCTCTGAGCACCACCCAGGAGTTCTCTGGCCTCTGTAGGGAGGTGGTGAGCCTGTGGGCACAGGATGCAGCCTACTGTGTCTGGGAACTGGAACAGGGAGGTCCCGGTGGAGTGTCTCCAGCTCCAAGGGTCCCAGTCCAGGGACAGCAGCCTATGTGCCATTCCTGCAGAGCAGAGAACGACTGTCCCACTGTCTTTCCAGAGGGACCTGTGTAACCTCTCCTGTGCATGCTGGGCCACCAGGGCCTCCTGCTGTCTGAGTGGAGGGATGGCCAGGGTCATGTGGTCTTGGGACGTCCTGGACCCCCCCCTTTTGGGGGGTCACTGTCCCAGCAGGAAGTGCCAGAACCTTCCAGTAGCACCCCTGTCCTGCCTCCCTCTTCCCTATATCTCTGAGGAACTAGAAACAAGGAGGGAAGGAGGGCCTTACAGCCCCTCGGCCAGTGATAGTCCCAGGGCCGAGGTGCTCCTGTGACCCCCATGTGGTCTGCTCCAGGGCTGTAGGGATTATTGCAGTTGTTTTAAGGGTGAACTTGAGGTTTCCTTGCAAGCAATTCCTAGACCCGTTCCAAGGTCCAGCTGAGAGACAGGCTGTGGGGACAGGCCTAGGGACCTGGACGCAGATGAGGACACCACCTGGTAGGGTCAGACCTGTGTACCCCTCTCATGCAAACCACTGTCATCTGTCCTTTCTCTCACTCCCTCCCATAACACGTGGGTGCAAACACACCTCACGGGGTCCCCTCCACAGCCGGAGAACCTGCTCCTGGCCAGCAAGTGCAAGGGGGCCGCCGTGAAGCTGGCGGACTTTGGCCTGGCCATTGAGGTGCAGGGGGACCAGCAGGCGTGGTTCGGTGAGTTTCCTGAGGGCAGAGTGCTGGCTGGTGGGCAGGTTGAGGGGGGCTGAGGTCCCTCACGGCCCCTTCCCTCTCACTAGGGTTCGCCGGCACGCCGGGCTACTTGTCCCCTGAGGTCCTGCGCAAGGAAGCATATGGCAAGCCTGTGGACATCTGGGCATGTGGTGAGGCCCAGTTGTGGGTGAGGGCTCAAGGGTTCAGGTGTTTCCAGGGCTGCTGGAATGTAAGCCAGTTCACTTGTGCCGGACCTGCTCTTGGGCTGCCCTGGCACAGCTGGAGTTAGATGCTCTCATGACCCCTACCCATCACCATGTCCCTGTAGCTCGGCACAGGTCTGGGCAGAGGAGTGTGGTGGATGGGCAGCAGTGGGGGGTAGCAACTCCCTGGGGCCTTCTCCCAGGGAGGCAGGCTAGCTGGGACATGGGCATGGGGCAGAGGGTGCTGGGCCTGGTACCTTCCCAGGCTGGCACTAACAGGCCCTTCAACAGGGGTGATCCTGTACATCCTGCTGGTGGGCTACCCGCCCTTCTGGGACGAGGATCAGCACAAGCTGTACCAGCAGATCAAAGCCGGGGCCTATGACGTGAGTGCGCAGGCGCTCCTACCGCTGCCTCCCTAGGTGGGCCGGGGTTGGGCGAAGCCCCTTGTGGACTCGGGTCTGTCTGGGAGGACTCCCGATGGCCCGTCGCTATTGCTCTGCAGTTTCCATCCCCTGAGTGGGACACCGTCACTCCTGAAGCCAAAAACCTCATCAACCAGATGCTGACCATTAACCCTGCCAAGCGCATCACTGCCCATGAGGCCTTGAAGCACCCCTGGGTCTGCGTAAGTTATCCATGGCATCCGCGCGGTGGGGTCCTCATGGAGTCAGCCTAGGACCACTTCCCTGCGGAGAGCTCTGATGGCCCCACCCAACAAAGGCCTCTGGGCCCCTGAGTGCTCCTTGTGGCTTCGGATTGGGACATGCTGATGGGTTTTCAGGATGGGGTGGAGGGCATTGGAGGGTGGAAAAGGTGCTTCCTTCTCATAGCAGTCCCATCTGTGGGGACAGGCTGGGCGAGGCCAGGCAAGGGCCAGGCGATGGGGCAGTTGGCCTCACTACAGGGGTGGCTGGTGGCCCTCAGCATATGGGCAACTGAGTGCAGCAAACCCCACTGTCTGGGCTTCTTCCTGACCCCGTGGCTCCTTCAAGTCCCTGGAGACAAGTCAAGTCATGATGGCCCTTTCCCCCACAGCAACGCTCCACAGTGGCCTCCATGATGCACAGACAGGAGACTGTGGAGTGTCTGAAGAAGTTCAACGCCAGGAGGAAGCTCAAGGTGAGTTCGGCCACCATTGTGTCCTGTGCTGGGGGGCTGGCCCAGCAGGAGGGGCCGGCAAGTCCTTCACTGCTGTCCTGGGAGCAAGTTCCAAACAAAAAGCAGCAGATGAACTCATTCTGGGGATGGGCAGTGCCCACAGCCATCCTGGGCCAGGGGTGAGCCGGGTCTCCAGTGGTCTCCACTGCCCCTGAGCAGCCCTAGGAGGGCTGTGTTGGGAGGGGGGGCAGCTAGAGGCAAAACACACCCTCTGTCAGTCATGCTCCCTTCAGTATGAGCGAGTGATCGCTGATTTGGAGAGAACAGAGTAAGGAGGTCGGGGAGGGAAGTGGGCATGGGGGATGGGGAACCGACCTGCCTTCATGGGCCAAGGCTGGTTTCAACTGGTGCAGCCGGCATCTCCTTAGGCTGTCTGGGGGATGTCATCCCCTGCCTTTCATGGGTCTCTGAGCAGAATCAGAGGGTCTCCAAAGCCCCTAAGAACAGCCACTACTGCCCTGGGCCTGTCAGGGCAAGGAGGGGCACGGGAAGTGAGCCCCAGAAGAGCTGCCAAGGTGACTGGTGGTCCTGCCGACCTGAGGCTCAGGGGCCTTAAAGCACTTAGAAGCTGTAGCTAGTTGGCAAGTTTGAGGCCCAGGGCATCTTAATCCTGGAAACGGGTGACCCGGCTAGGTGCAGCAGCCGGCTTCCTGGATTCTTGCCTGTCTGAAGGCTGCAATTGGGTCAGAGGGCCTTGGGAATCTTCTCTCAGAGCCCGTGGGTTGGCGGTCAGACACCAGCAGGGGGCGCTCACAGGACAGTCCTGGCTCTGTGTCTCTCCCCAGGGGGCCATCCTCACCACCATGCTGGCCACACGGAATTTCTCAGGTGAGACCTTCTCCTCCAGGGAGGACTCCGTGCTGCCCTCATCCTCTGGCCTGCTCCAGGAAGTCTCTCCCTTCTCCCCTGCCCCACCGGCTCCCTCCCAGGGCCCCATCGCCTTCTTGTTGGGTCTGTGTCGCCTCTCCCGCGCTGCCCCTTCCAGGCCGCGCCGCATCTGTTTGTCCAGGCGTCCGTCAGGCATCTCTGTGGCCTCCTTGTTGTTCTGAACGCGTTAGGCACCGTGTGTGCGGGAGGTGGGCAGTAGAGATATGGGGGGAGTTTCCGGTCAGTGGGGGCTCTGGGGACCTCCCTTCCAAGTCCTGAACGAGCTGGCAGCCGCTGCCTGGGTGGCTCAGGGTGGGCAGGAGGGACTCAGGTCTCTGCCATCTGTCAGAGATGCCCCAGGGGAAGGCATTAGCCTCGGAGTGGAGCTGTGGCCTGTCCGTCGTTCGGTACGCAGTGTGCGAGCGTCTAGTGTCTCGTTGTCCGTCTACACCTGGCACCCGTCTCCTGCTGTTCCTTTTGCTGTGATGCTGTACGGCTGGGGACACGGGTTCACAAGGTCACACCAACAAAAGGGACTGTCCTGTCTGTGTGCCTGCCACACCTGGCGGCTTGAGAAGCCCCCACTGGGGTTTTCTGAGGAGAAAGGAGGCAAACGCTTTGAATGTGGACCGGCCCAACCTGTTTCTGTTCTCCCAAGAAAAGGATCTGGAGCCATCTGCCACCAAACTTTAACTCTAACCTTCTTCTGCTTCCTTTGTCTCTCTCCCCTCACCTTGCCCACCCCGTCTGTGTCTGCCCGCCCTCCCCCTCGTCTCTCGCCCGGCGCTAACAGTGGGCAGACAGACCACCGCTCCAGCCACAATGTCCACTCCGGCCTCCGGCACCACCATGGGGCTGGTGGAACAAGGTGATGTGTCTTGACCGGCGTTGCCCGCCCTCGCTGCCCCTCTGTGCGTGGCACGCAGTCCCACTACACATAGCTGCTGGCCAGGCCAGGAGCCGCGGGAGCACTGCTCCCGTTGTGCTCACATCTAGCAGAAACCCCAAGGGTAGGGAGGCCGTCCAGTCTCCTCACCTGCAAGAGCAGGGCTAAGCTATGTGATCTGTGGGCTGTGCCAAGCCCTGGGGGAATTTTACTGAACCCCCCTGGTCCTGGCCCTGGAGATGTGGGGGTCTGAAGACCCCCACTCAGAATGACCTTGACCCCACAGGGAGCCACTGGGCCTGCTGTTGGGGGACCCGGATCCTGAAAGAGGGGCCTTGGGGAGCCAGGCCAGAGAGGGGCTGCTGCCCCACCAGAGCCCATGCGGCAGTCAGCCAGGTGGTCTGTGCTGCCAAAGCTCCATGTATATATCTGGACAGGTTCGGAGTAGTGGGGCTCTGGGTGCCCTGAGGTGGCTTTGCTGACCCCTCTTGGGCTCTCAATGACCCCAAATTCCTGGGGTTGCTGACCTATTCCTCTGGGTGTGGGTGGGAATCTGTCCCTCCTGTAGCCCAGAGCCCCAGCGGGCTCTCATGGGACTGGATGCATGACCATGGGCAGACCCCATGCAGGCTAGGGACCCTGGGACCTCCTGAGGGCTCCATAACTGCAGCTGGTCCCTATGTGCACCAGGCCACCCAAGCCCTCCCTGAGCCCTGCCCAAAGCTCCTGTCAGTCTCTGGCACTGTTGGGATGGGACAGAGGTTCCAGAGTGCAGGCACTGCCCTTCCTTCCTCCCATCATCCTGCCCCACAGTCGAGCACTCAGGTCTTCCTAAGGGCTATCCTCGGGCGGAGGCCCAGGCTGTACTTGGGGAGAGGTCTGTGCTCCTCAGAGCGCCCAGTGGACATGTCCAGAAGGCAGACCATGGAGACTATTCCTGGTCTGCTCCATTTCACAGGCCTTTCTGGAGCACGAAGCAGAGTTGGGGTGGGGGGCCAAAGTTAATGTGAGAGGAGGCTGGTGGTTTCTGGGAGTCCTGTCACAGAGCACAGCCACACCAGGAGGCCCTCTGAGTCATGCTCTCCCTGTGCTCCTCCCACCACAACGCCCGCCTGCCTGCAAGTGAACCTGGGCGCCGTGCATGCGGCCGCCTGCATGTGCGGCTCCAGCCTGGGCGTCAGGGGCCGCATTCTCTCAGAGGATGGTCAGTGCATGTGGACGGAGCCCAGCATGGCTGTCCATGACACCAGTCAAGTGGCGAGGAGGGGCGGGTCAGGTCACACCCACAGATGTACGGCCAGATCTGAAATTGCAGTCAGAGCTCCCGGCGGCCTCACAGCCTCCATGGTCTCCTGCACTGAGCATGTGTAGTGGGGGGACCGAAATGGCCAGACGAGCCATGATAGCCACAAGTGCCTCAGTCCAAGAACCCCGGGATCGGGCAGTGCTCTCCCAGTGTGAGGGGCAGAGGCCTTTCTTCGTTCCCCAGAGGCCCATGGAGCCCCTTGGGATGTCTGGGATGCCTGGGACCACTAGGTCCACCTTCAGCTCCAGCTGTGCCAAAAATGTTCCTAATTCAAGGCGACAGGAAACAAGCTCCCGACAGCTTTGAGCACTAGTGTAAACCACAGCGCCGGGATTCTGCCACTGTGAATTGGAGGGAGTCCAGGGTGGGAAACCATGGCCCCAAGCAGGAAGGGCTGGCCTGCGCCCTAGTTGAGCTGAGTGGGTATGGATGGCTCATGCGAGAGGCGGCTGGGAGCTGACTGAGAGGCCCCGTGTCTGGTGGGGCCACAGGGCCCAGCAAGTCTGGGGAAGGAGGGGTGGTTTGTACCGAGCGCTTCCTCCCCGCAGGCCGCGAATGCCTGTCCTTGTGTTCCTCCACTGGTAACTGTTAACCTTTCCAGTTGCACGGCTTGGAACTATAGCCTTTGATGGCCTCAGGGACCACCTGGGCCTTCGCCTGTCCTGCTTAGGTCTGACCCAGCCATCTCCATTCCTGTGGGCTGTCAAACTGCCGCCGCCAAGGGTGCTGCGCCGACCCTGGCGGTGTCTTGGCCCAGCACTGGCAAGCAG